CAAAAGACCAAATGTCCAGACAGAGGGTTTTGGTTGAGATCATGCATAAAACCCAGAAACATAAAATTGCTGCTAGGAAGGTCTTTAGACTTTAGAACAATGCAAAGAATGAAGTTGTTAAGTTCGACACGGTAGGACTTTTTAAATTGTCCACCGCATGGAAAACACGAACTTTTCAGAAAAAGTCACCATCAAGATTGAGAGTTCAAGGTCTTTCCAAACAACTTGGAATTAAATATACAATACGATTTATATAAACCAGTAAGGAAAGTAGTAAAGTCGGACTGGGCCGACTATATGGTACCCTTCACCACTTTGGGTATATTCTACATATGTATCCGAAAAGACGTCGCCTTGTTTGAGGTATTTTGACATGAAATTGCACGAACTTAAATATGTGATTTTTATGTCTTTCTGGAAAATATGCTAAATTTCATTTCATTCGGGAGCTATATATGGGAGCTATATCTAAATCTGAACCGATTTTCACGAAACTTAGCACACATATTCTAGACCTAATTCCGTAGGTTATACAAAATTTCGTGCTAATCGAAAGATATACAGGGACTTTGGTACACCTTTTACCTTAAATCGGGCGAAACTACATATGGGAGCTATATCTAAATCTGAACCGATTTTCACGAAACATAGCACACGTCATTCTAGACTTAATTCAATACGCTATGCCAAAATTCGTGCAAATCAAATGCTTTTCAGGGACTTTGGTGCACCATTTACCTAAAATCGGCCGAAACTATATATGGGAGCTATATCAAAATCTGAACCGATTTTCACGAAACTTTGCACACATCATTCTAGATTCAGCACGCTATGCCTAAATTCGTGCAATCTATAAGATTTCCAAGGACTTTGGTGCACCAATTACCTAAAATCGGGCGAATCTATATATGGGAGCTATATCTAAATCTGAACAGATTTTCATGAAACTTAGCACACATTATTATAGACGCAATTCAGTACGCTATGCCAAATTTCGGCCAAATCGAAACATATATAGTGCCTTTGGTGCACCAATTACCTTAAATCGGATGAAAATATATATGGGAGCTATATCTAAATCTGAACAGATTGTCACGAAACTTTGCACACATCATTCTACATTTAATTCAGTACTCTATGCCAAAATTCGTGCAAATCAAAAGATTTCCATGGACTTTATTGGACTATTTACCTAAAATCGGGCGAAGCTATATGTGGGAACTATATCTAAATTTGAACTGATATTCATGAAACTTTGCACACATCATTCTAGACTTAATTTAGTACGCTGTGCCAAATTTCGTGCAAACTAAAAGAAATATAGGGACTTTGGTACACCATTTATCTTAAATCGGACGCAAAATATATATGGAAGCTATATCTAAATCTGAACCGATTTTTCCCAATTTCAATAGGGTTCGTCTTTGGGCCAAACAAATGAGCTGTGTCAAATTTCATCCAATTCGGATCATAAATGCGACCTGTACTTTGTTTGCAATTTAACACCAACGGACAGAGTGGCGGACGGACATGCATAAATCGACTCAGAAAGTGATTATATGCATATTCTCAAAAGGAACCATGGGTCAATCTCGATTATTTTTGCTGTTACATACATATGCACAAAGACATAATACCCTGTACCACAGTGTGGTGAATGGTATAAAAACATACCCTTCAAATACTCTTCAAACGTTTGGTATGGGGTCACTATATATCAAATCGCCCTATCAAAAATTATCGAGATCGGCCTACTTTTATGAATCTGATATTGGTGCACATTTGGTGTCAAATCCTCCTACAAAAAAAAATTCTATAGCATAGCCTGGCATTTATGCAGGTCACGAATGATAACTGATATTTTAAATGGAAGGTGTTAAAAGTTAATCCCGGCCGAACGTAACGATTTTGAAATATCAGAGAAAGATCTTCGACAGCAAATTGACAATATTAGTCCATTTTTGACACATTTTCAAGAGTCACGTCCCGTTATCGGTTCAAATCTATATAAGTTGGAAGTTGATGAATTTTAAGTAATCTGAAGACCCTAGCCTTATTATACACTCAACCTATTGGCTAATGAGAGTATATACACTTTGATACGGTGAAAATATTCCTCATCGATATATTGATTTTAGGACCCATGTTTCTTTGAACCAAATCCGTTTCAGACAACTTGGAGTCGATTTACAAATGTATGTCCGTACGTCTGTCTGCCTGGTTGGCTGGTGCGCACGATAACTCTCGAAGGGAGCAACCGATAAAAACTCTGAACATCGTAATATTTCTTCCATACTTAGTTTAAGTTCGAAGATGGAGAATATCGGTATACTCCCTTTGGTACCTCCCTCACGAAATGTGTATAAAGTTGCTGAAATTTAACTTATAATAGCATGTAAACGGACTATCAGATTTGACCCAACATTGCACAACCTGTTGTCTTTACCAAGCCTAGATCAATTCCAAAAATTAGACTTGTTGATACATACTTCTGGTTCCCGCTTCCATAAATTGTTACCATTTTCAATATTAAAAAAATCCAATATTAGGCAATTAGAATGTCCGATTTAAACCAAATTTTGCACAGCCTGTTATCTTTACCAATTCTAGATCAGTTCCAGATAGGGACCCCATCGGTCCACTACTTTTGGTACCTCCACCAAAATGTTTAATATTTATAAATCAATTATTAGGCTAATAGAATGTCTGATTTGAACCAAAGATTGCACAACCTATTATTACATTTGACAAGCCTAGACCAAGTCCGAAGATGTGACCTATTGGTCCCCTCACAAAGGTTCAATATTTTATAAACCTAAAAATTTAATTTGAAGCTAATTGAATAATCGATTTGATCAACATTAAATCCAAAACCTCTTTGAAAAAATATATATATCTTAATTCCGAAGTCCTCCAGAAACTATAGGCTGAGGATATATATCTGTCGTTAACACCGACTGACATTTTGCTACTTGTTTGTCATCCAAAACGGCTGTTCCTGGAAGTTAACGTGTTTTTTGAGGATAACAAAAGTCTCATCAAGAATTGTGATTTCAGATTCAGATCCATAGAACCCTTTTAAGTGTCCCGACTGATTTAAAGTCTTCTGAAAAACACATATTATTCATCAAAAATAATTAATTTACTCCTTATGGTTTCGCCTAATTCTGCACTTTCAAACTTATTGGCGTTGCATAACTATAGACGCACTTTTACAAAATTAGATAAATTTATTTTTAAAAACTTAAATAAAATAACATTAATCAATAATGGGTAGGGCATCCCTTATTACGAATAAGTTCAAAAATCAACATTTTTCGCAAATCTTCATCGATTGACCATCATTCATCGATAATCATTTCTTGGAGGTAAAATACAGTTTGGTATTGGCGGTGTTCTGCATAATCATGAAATGTCAAGATTCCACATATATTCTCGTACATTTGGTTTTTAATTATACTTGAGTATGACGATTTTTATGAACAGGTGCGTTGTCCTGCTGACAAACGAGTCCTTCATTGTTACTTCTTTCCCAAAATGGCAATAATTTGTCTTCCAAGACTTGAACGTACTCCAGTGAATTCATCCGACAACTAGGAAATGTCAAATCAAGCATTCCGGAGCTATAAAATGCTCCCAAGACCATTAAGGAACTGCCCCCGAAATATCGTTTTAAGAAATGCCGCCCGTAAATTCTGACCCCCAGCCATGCGAACATTTTGGACGTTAATTTCAAGAAGCTTGCTGACAGAATATATCACTGGAAAAAAGGACAGGATGTCACCTTATGACCCTATTACATTACCAAATGGGGAGACTTGTCTTATGTCTTAAACATTGATCGTTATATCCCCAAGAAGACACGTCATATGGCATTTTCATGATACAGAACGAGGTCGATAATGACGAAAATACCTTGCTAAACTATTTGAAAGTAATAATAATACCACTAAATAATAAGGAGGCAAATAGTAAACCCTCGGTTGCTAAAGAAAGATCATTGCCCAGTCTCATCGATAAATGTGTATATGATCTACTGGTAAAAAAGTGATGTAGAGGTACACACGTTGCCCCTGACCCAGGTTACCTCCAAGTAACATCAGGATGGTGCAGCCGCCTCAACAAATATTAGGTTACATTGTCACATTATTGGGCCATCTCCATGAGAATATGGAAATTAAATTCCTATATGAAGAATTATACCCCTGGTGACTCGATAGAGGTATATATTATATCGAGGTAGACAGTTTGGTCCAGGAATACAATCGTGACCTCATAATCAAGAGGCTTAGTCCATAAACTCTGTTGAGCCCATGTAAAATCTGGATGGTGCTACAGCCACAATTGAGCTTGAAGTGATGAGGAAGCCCGCAAAATACGCTGTGGTTGTTTAATTCATCTATTAAATTTGGCGGAAGGTATATCTAAGGTCGTCGCCAATAGTTCCTCTTTTAAAAGGTGTTTCTCACTATTACCAGTATTTTCACTTAAATGGCGAATATATTTATTTCTCCCATACTATTAAATAAAATGCCCATGTCCTCATACGGCAACGTCTGGACCGACAAGCATTTGATATATATATGCACAAGAAGAGAAGAGGGGAGGCGAAAGAAAAACAATTTATTTTTATAAATGATTTTTAAATAAAAATCTCGTGGAAAACAATAAATTATCATCACTTCAGCATAAATGGAAACAAGCAAAAGAGCCAGCAGCCTCTCTGGCAGGTAGGACAGTTAGCCAAACAGCCAGCCAGCCAGCCTTACTCGGCATTGTTCTATTTTGCTGCTGGCAAATCATGAAAACAGAAAAAAAAACAGGAGGGCAAACAATGCAAGGGTTCAAAAACACAAAACAAAAAATAAAAGGCAATGCAGCAAAAGTGAGGCTGACACTTCAATGTTGCGGAATGACGTCCAACACACACACACCTATATACACCCCCCATATTTCTCCACATACATACCTACGAAAACCAATTTTATTATATCACTTACCTTTACTGATTCCGGTGGCTTTGTCGCGCAGCACATTTATCGAATGCACCGGTCCATATTCTTCGAACATGGCACGCAACTGAGCCTCATCCATGGACTTTGGCACCTGGCCAACGAACATTTTAATATTGTCTGGATCGGGTTCTTCGCGCAGGAATGGCCCGTCAGTGTCCATGCGAAAGCACGATTCACCGTCGACGACCATCAGATTACGATTTGTACTGCATGTATTGTTGTTGTTATTATTGATGGCATTCGCATTGTTGTTGTTGCTGCACAGATTGGCGACAGCATTGTTTTTATTCAGCAATGATGTATTGTTGTTGTTATTGTGAATAGGACTATTCGGTAGGCTGTTGGTGGTACTGCTTTTATCACTCATACCAAATGCACTGGAATGGAGAAAAAATGGAGAGAAAAGAGAAAAGGGAGAGAGAGAGTGAGAGAAAGTTTGTGATAAGTAATGTTTGTAATCAGTTGAAGGATCTTTAAAATAAAAAATATAAAAATGTATTATATTATTAAATTATTATTATTAAATTATTAAAATAAGGCAACACATTTAAATTTTAAAATTATTAAATTTTTAAAGTATTTTATAAAAAAAAATACGACTAAAGGCCTAATTGCTTCCAAAAAAACAAAAAAAATAGTTTATAAAATTCACGCCTCGATGTCTGATAGTCTTTCACAAAAAATAGTTAATAAAAATCCACGACTTGATGTCTGATGGTCTTCCAAAAAATATTTTATAAAAATCCACGCCGCGATGTCTGATAGCCTTCCAAAAAAAAAAAAAAAATAGTTTATACAAATTTACGTCTCGATGTTTGATGGTCCTCCAAAAAATCCACGCCTTATTTTTGTATAGTCTTCCAAAAAATAGTTTATAACCGGCAATGAAAATAGTAAAGCCGGACGTGACCGACATTATGATACCCTTCACCAATTTGGATTATTTGGAGCCAAAAATATATATGAAACCAATATCGAAACCCGAACCGATTTTAACGTTCAAGGTTATACTAACTTCAGTATGTTTTCAGCATATCGGTCCTTGGCGCATTATTTACTCCAAATCGGATAAAAAAAAATATATATATGGGAGCTAAACTAACTTCAGGACTTGTGGGTCTATGGTTCAGTATTGACATAAAATCGGACGGAGTTATATCAACATCAGAACCGATTTCAACGAAACTTTCACCACGTTAGGTTATACTAACTTCAGTAGGTTGTGCAAAATTTTGTGCCAATCGGCAATATTTTGGAGCAGTGATGGACCATCATCTGAAAATCGGACGAAACTATATATGGGAGCTATATCTAAATCTGAACCGATTTCAGCGAAACTTTCCGCACAGTTATACAAACTTCAGTACGTTGTGCAAAATTTTGTGTCAATAGGCCATATTTTGGAGCTTTGGTACGCCATTTACTGAAAATCGGACGAAACTATATATGGGAGCTATATCTAAATCTGAACCGATTTTCACGAAACTTGGCAAGCATTATACTAGACTTAATTTAATACGCTGTGCTAAATTTCTTGTAAATCGAAGTATATCTAGGGACTTTGGTGCACCATTTATCTTAAATCGGACGAAATTGTATATGGGAGCTACATCCAAATCTGAACCGATTTTCGTCAATTTCAATAGGGTTTGTCCTTGGTCCAAATAAAGGAGCTGTGCCATATTTCGGATTATAAATGCGACCTGTACTTTGCTTACAATTTAAGATCAACCCACGGACGGACAGACAGACAGACGGACAGACATGCATAAATCGACTTAAAAAAATGATTATATGCATATTCTCAAAAGGTACCATGTGTCTATCCTATCCTCTAAAAAATTGGTTTTAAAAATCCACGTCTATAGTGGTCCTTTAAAAATTATTTTTAAAAATCCACGCCTATAGTGGGTGGTTATAAAAATCCACGTCTATAGTGGTCCTTTAAAAATTATTTTTAAAAATCCACGCCTATAGTGGGTGGTTATAAAAATCCACGTCTATAGTGGTCCTTTAAAAATTATTTTTAAAAATCCACGCCTATAGTGGGTGGTTATAAAAATCCACGCCTATAGTGGTCCTGTAAAAATTTGGTTTTAAAAATCCACGCCTATAGTAGTCCTTTAAAAATTTGTTTTTAAAAATCCACGCCTATAGTGGTCCTTTAAAAATTTGTTTTTGAAAATCCACGCCTATAGTGGTCCTTTAAAAATTTGTTTTTAAAAATCCACGCCTATAGTGGTCCTTTAAAAATTTGTTTTTGAAAATCCACGCCTATAGTGGTCCTTTAAAAATTTGTTTTTAAAAATCCACGCCTATAGTGGTCCTTTAAAAATTTGGTTTTAAAAATCCACGCCTATAGTGGTCCTTTAAAAAATTTGGTTTTAAAAATCCACGCCTATAGTAGTCCTTTAAAAATTTGGTTTTAAAAATCCACGCCTATAGCGGTTTTTTAAAAATTTGGTTTTAAAAATCCACGCCTATAGTGGTCCTTTAAAAATTTATTTTTAAAAATCCACGCCTATTGTGGTCCTTTAAAAATTTATTTTTAAAAATCCACGACTATTGTGGGCCTTTACATTTTTTTAAAACTCCACGCCTATATTGGTCCTTTAAATATTATTTTTAAAAATCCACGCCAACAGTAGAATCTAAAAAATTATTTTTAAAAATCTCCTCCTCCACCGCCATTGTTTTTTGAGTAACCCATTAGAGATGATCTCACCTCCTCCAATAGGTGTAAACAATGAATGATGTTACAGCAAAATAACTGTATATGCAATATTTTATAAAAATGATGTTATTGGTGTTGTTGTTTGAAGCCAACAATAGTTGTTGTTGTTGTTGCCTGATGCCAACCGTTTGAAGTATTATACATCACATTGTTCGTATATGAACAAAATACAAGCGAAAATATCTGTGATGAATGTAAATGGTAGAAAAGGGAAGAGAAAATGATGGAAAAAGTAAATTGCTATTAAAATCTGTCAATTTTTATATTTCATTCGTTTCGTTAGTCATTTTTTTTACATATGAACGTATGTATGTATTTAGGTTCTCGTCTGTATATGTGTCCAACTGACACTGATGGAAAGACGACGACGATGACTACGAGAAGTAAAATTACTCGTGCAAATATTACACATAATAATCATTGCTGATTGGAATGCAAGGATGTATGGTACAGTGGGCACAAAGATCAAAAAATTTAAAAAAGAGGTACGGAATATTGGACTGAATTCAAAATTTTAAAGGTCTTAGAAGAATATTTCGTATAAATAAAAATTAATTAGGGCTAGCATTTTTCACTTCGAAAAAATTCTTAAAAAAATTGTTTGTCATATATGGAGAGATTTTTAACGTGAATTCTGAAACAAATAACGAAACAACCCCACAGTATTGTTTTATTGTGTAAAATACCATGCTCAGACAGAACATAAACAAAATATCAGTTATAGCGTATAAGCGAAATGGCCAATGCCTATAAACATCATCATTTTATTTGTGTTGCCAGCTTTTTGTATTTCTATGGAAAACCTGCCAGAATCACCACTATTCTCCACCATTTATGTCTGTCCAATATTGCAGTTGGCTGTCATTATTGACGGGTTGTAAAATGGTAGCGAGATGAGTTGTGCGGGGGGATGATGTATTGAATTGAATGAATGGCTTTTTAAATGAAAATGAAAATATATATCACAAAAATTTAAAAAAAAGAAAAAAGAACTCACATATGTATATGAAAATCACTCATTCTTCCATTTATTTTCATGCACACACATATATTCACATATACATATGCATGTAGTATATATGAAAATATAGAGTAGCCGAGTAAATGTTGTGTAAATGTAAATCGTAGTGGACGAAATGAATTGAATGGAAAAATTAATCAATTTTTAAGTTATCATTTCCTTTCAGTAGTTCGGTTTTTTATCAATTTTCTCTTCTTTTGTAATAATTTTTCTTTATTTATTTTTATGAATTCATGAATGTGTCATATATATCATTTTATCAACGAAGTAAGGTGGTAAGGACATAAACAAACAACTGAAAGTAATTACATGTTTTAGAATTGAAGTGATTAAATTTTCAGTATCGAATATGGGACACTAATTCGATTTTGAAAATTTAGATGAATTATCTTTTTTTAATTTAGGACAAATGTTCATGTGTTATTATGGGTACATACAGGAGACGCAAATATATGCAATATCCTGTAGATAGAACAGACATATCATTTTTAGATTTTTTCCAAAACTTAACACACATCATTCTGGACTTAATTTAGTACGCTATGCCAAATTTCGTGCAAATCGAATGATATTTAGGGACTTTGGTGCACCATTTACCTAAAATCGGACGAAAATATACATGGGAGCTATATCTAAATCTGAACCGATTTTCACGAAACTTAGCACACATCATTCTAGACTTAGTTCAGTACGCTATGAGAAATTTCGTGCAAATCGGAAGATATATAGGTACTTCGGTGCACCATTTACATTAAATCGGACGAAAATATATATGGGAGCTATATGTAAATGTGAACCGATTTGCATGAAACTTAGCACACATAATTCTAGACTCAATTAAGCGCGCTGTACCACATTCCATGCACACCGAAAGATATATATGAGGATTGGTGAACCATTTACTTAAAATCGGACGAAGATATATATGGGAGCTATATCTAAATCTGAATCGATTTTCACGAAACTTAGCACACATCATGCAAGACTCAATTAAGTTCACTGTGCCAAATTTCGGGAAAAACGAAAGATATATAGAGACTTTGAGGCACCATTTATTTAAAATCGGACGGAAATATATATATGGGAGCTATATCTAAATCTGAACCGATTTTCACAAAACTTTGCACATATCATTCTAGACTCCTTTAAGCGCGCTGTACCAAATTTCATGCAAATCGAAAGATATATAGGGACTGGTACACCATATACATAAAATCGGACGAAAATATATATGGGAGCTATATCTGAATCTGAACCGGTTTCCACGAAACATAACTCACATCATACTAGACTTTGTTCAGTACGCTATGTCAAATTTCGTGCAAATCGAAAGATATTTAAGGACTTTGATGCACCATTTACATAAAATCGGACGAAAAATATATATGGGAGCTATATGTAAATGTGAACCGATTTTCACGAAACTTAGCACACATCATTCTAAACTCCATTAAGTGCAATGTGCCAAATTTCGTGCAAATCGAAAGATATATAGAAACTATGAGGCACCATTTATTTAAAATCGGACGAAAATATATATGGGAGCTATATCTAAATCTGAATTGATTTTCATGAAACTTAGCACACATCATTCTAGACTCAATTAAGTGTGCTTTGCCAAC